AATTGGTCTGGTTAGTGTGAAAAACATTGAGATTTATTTTAGGTTGTTTAGAGTGGTAATATGACAAATACAATAATTAAATGAACCATAATTTTAAGCCTAATATTTAGCCTGGGCCAATTTCTCCTAATCTGATGAAAACAATTTCAATTTAAGCGACTAATTAAAAATCAAGTAAGTTTAGCGGTCGTATTTGGCAGTTTGGGCCAGGGAAAAAGCCTCCTTTTTTCCTGGTTAGTTAATCGGTTGTCTAATACTTATACTAATTTCTGACATAAGAAAAAAGGTAATAAAGCCTTATTGATGGACCAAATGGATACCAAGGGCAAAGTTAAAATTCCGGTTGGCTCGGCCTGTTATTTTGTGGATGAAGTCAATTTATATTTTCGCGGAGTAGAATATTCCAAAAATCAGAAAGTTCACTCGGGCATTGAGGACTTTTGTGCCTTAGCCCGACATTTTGATAAAAAAGTATTCTTTTCCGTTCAAAGGACTAATCAATTATGAGTTGCCATTAGAGATATTGCTAATATTTATATTAAAGTTAAAGGGATTTATACTCCCTTATTTTTGCCCTGATGTAGTGTGTTAAGATTAGAAATTTACGAGGATATAAAATTAGCCGAGGAATGAAGTAGTAATATGGCCCCTTATCAGCGAGGTGGTTTTTTTTCTCTCTTTGGTGGTAATGATTACGACCAAGCCAAAAAACGTCTTAATATTAGAGAATATAAAGTATTCTTAAAAAAAAGAGATTTTCAAAATTATGATACTAAATTCTTTGGTGCCTTATTGCCTTTGCTAAATGATAAAAGAAAAGAAGCCAATGTGCCAAAAGGACAAATACCCGTTCCTAATGCTCTAAAAGGGATAATCAAGCAAGAATATTTTACGGTAAAAGAAAAACCCCGTCCTACTCTCTGACAACGAATTAAAGAGATGTTTACTCCTGCTAAAAAAGAACCCTCAACGGAAAAAAGCGAGGCCGAATGGACGAGCCAATACCAATGGGAGCCGTGAAACGGCGAGCCTTAAAAAGTAAAGAACCAAGAAAATAATATGGAATTTTTAAAATTTTTAGAGTTTATTTGCTGTCTAATAGTTAGTTGGTTAATGTGATATATCAGCGTTAATTATTTTGGCGAACCCGAGGATTGATGGTTTAATACCATATTTTTTATAGTAATGTGGAGTATTTTCCTACTCCCACTAATAGTAAAGGACTGTTTTTTTACGAAGCCGAACCTGGCGTATGCCTTGGTCGGAACAACAAAAAAATAATTCTTTTAAGTAAAAACCCTTATTTTTAGCAACAAAATTAAAATCATGTAGTTCTTAATAGTAAATTAAAAAAATTAAGTCAAAAATAAAGTAAAAGTCCTATAAATGGCCCTCTGTCTCCTTCTTATATAACCCGCAGGGGTAGAGCCTCGTAGAGGCGAGGTTATGCCTAAATGGGAGCCGCAATAAGATAACAAAGTAAATAAGACTGCTAATGTCGTTTTGCTGTTAGATTGTGAAGGCGTTTTAGTCTATTTTAAAGATTTACCTCCGCCCATAGAGATATAAGATGTTATTTTTTTTCTGCCTTTGGTTATTCCTATATTCTTGGGCCTCTTTTACTCATACCAAGGGCAGAACAAAGATTTAACACCGCCTATTGTCTAATAAAAGAATAAAAAAATATGCCAACCCCAAAATTAACCCCTCAAAAATTAGAAGAAATCAAAAGACGAGAACAATTACATGTTAGAGGTGATATGACCGGTCATCGCTATGATTATGGTTTACAAAGTTTTGCCGAAAATGTTCGGTATTATGTAAATCAAGGAGATAACGAACAAGCAAAAAAAGAACGGAGCAATCAAGTCAAACGCGACCTAATAAATTGTTGTTTAAATCCCCGCACTCGCCAATTTATCCAAGATAATATCGCTAAAATTGAGCCTTATTTTGAAGGTAATCAATCAGGTGCCTCCGGTAGAGCAAGAACCTTATTTCGCAATTTTCGCTATTGAAACGATATGATGTTCGGAGCCTTTGACCATTTTGCTGAACACTTTGGCAGTAGTAATAATTTTTTCAGTGCGGACATGTATAAAATGTGAATTCAGGGTATGAGATTAGGCTTATATACGGCCTGTGATTTTTGTGTTCTCGGTCGGGCTGGCCTCAATTATTCAGATGGTCGTGAGCCTTCCCCTCGTCTCCAAGCAGTTGAAAGTTATTACTCTATGATTTGTGTAATGCGGGAAATATTGGAAGTTATAGAGCAAGAAATTGGAAGGTGAGGTCGTGGCGGTGATAGTTATAGTTTCACCTCTGATGATTGAACCGAATATTTAAGGAGTTGTAGGGAGCAATTAAACAGGAATTTCGGTGAGGAAAGAGGAAGGCAAATGTTTAATGATATTTTTGGTGGACCTGACCCTAATAGACCCGAAGGCAATTGAGATAATATTCAGATGAAATTTTTTACTCGGTTAGCCGAGGGATTGTTGAGAGGACGAGAGGAAATTCCTCCTTCTAATCAAAATAGAGGAGAAGGCAGTTTTAATCGGGATTACGCAGGAGAACAAGCCGAAGCGGAGGCACGAGAAAGAGAAAGGAGACAACGAGAGGAAAGAGAAAGACCAGACCCACCTCAAAATGACGAAAATAATAATATACCTGATGATATACCTAGGCCCGAGGAAAATAGAGAACAAAGGGGTCGTTCTCACTCTCCCGCAAGAGAAGCAGGAGAACAGCAAGCAAGAGGTGAAAGACCTGATACTCCTCCCAAATTTGATTTTGGTTCCTCTACTCTCAATGACATTTTAAATGGGATGAGTGAGGAGTTGGAAAAAGATGGTAAAGCAGCGGGTAATGATGAACCTTTTACTCCCAGTCCTGGTTTAGGTATGCCATTAGGAAGCATAACGAAAGATGAGGCGGAGAAGTTGCCGTGGTTGTGTATGGGGTTTGATTTGACGGAGCCGCGGTGATTTATCAAAGACCCTACTACGGCGGCTAATTTTCAGCATGGTTCGGGCGATGTTGTTACTTTATTATTAGAACTTTGGAGCGTTACGCGACAGGATAATTTTAACGATGTAGGGCATAATTTCTTTTGAGCCAAAAACCTCGGCACAGCAGAAAAACCAATTAAAGGCTTTCAACGATTAGTAAAAGATGATGACTTACCAACGGAAAGAGAGGGCGAAAAAAACCACCTGTTAATTACCGGTAAAAGAGAGGATGACAAAAGAGCCGAAAAAATGGGCTGGACTGCTTGACCGTGAAGGAAAGATAAAAAAATCCCAATGGGCGTCCCTGGTGTCGTCCAAAAATCTTATAGTTTAACTCGCTTTTTAAGAAGTCAGCATAACGCTTATGATTTGAAAGATAAAAGTCATTTTATTGGAATATTATACGACAAAAACTTAATCAAGGATTTTCAAGCCTGGTCTACTTCGGTTTACATGCCTAGCCCCGCACCCCTAAGTGTAATTTGAATAACTAATCAAATGAATTTTAGACGAGACAAAAGGGATTGATGAGGAGATGACCCTAACACAATAAACCCCGACAATGGATTTAGCCATTACCTGATTTTTTGCCGCGATAAATATTTTCTCAATAATGATAATAATAAGAAAGATATTTACAATCAGTTTATCAACAACCAGACCCCCGCTCTCAACGCCAAAACCCTCGCCCAACTAGTCGGCCAACTAAAAGGCACCCTCGTTCGCCTCGGCCCCGACCTCTTGGAACTAAAAGAAAGCCAAAACGAGGAACAAAAAGGCCGCAGCCAAGATGAAACCCCAACAAGTAGAGACGCCAACCGCAAAGAAGTAAGCGACCAAGATTTACAAGACCTAGGCCTAACAAGAGAGGAATTTGACCTCCTAAATACCGCCTTCGCAGATGAGGCTCATATTGCCAACATAATTAAAAAACTTGCCTC